ATGGCTATCATGTGCTGTGAGGGCAGCCTCTTGTGGTAGTTTTGAGTACTCAATGATGCGCTCGACTGAAGTCATCTGACTCTCCATCTCTGCCGACTGTCGGGCTCCCCATTGAGTCATTCCCGTCAACATTAGGGCTAATTATTAAATTACAAATTTAATTAAAATATAATTAAATCTAAACATTAGTTCTAAACCCAACCTGAAGATAAAGCGAGTCCCGCCTCTCCCGCTCCCAACTGACCGGGAAATACCATAAACACAGCAAATATTACAACTGTATAGAGAAAACAAAACCAATCTATGATTAGACCAAATGCACGGTTAGCAGTGGTGACGAGCATCCAGGTGGCCGAGTGATCATCTTGGTATACATAAAATTGTCTCTCAAACACTTCCTGCGCCCCAAAAGCCCTAACACTGGCCAACCCATTGAATGTAGTGCTCACGTGTGAAAACACTGGACTCCGAGCTATGAGTAATAGCAAATAATTATATAATTTTATTTGTTTATACTTGTATATAAAAAATATTTCCATTATTGCTTACTTAAACCTTCGGCCCGTTTAATGTCCCTAGCTGATTTGATGTATACGGACCGCACGGCTACAATCACTACAATCAGAATAAATGCTGGTATTATTAGGTATGGGTTGACAATTGCGATCATGATTATTCCTCCCAATCCTTGAGTCATACTCTAAATTATATAAATTTTAAGTTATTTATTACTTCAATGATTAAATTAGTAAGATATATCACAAGCTTTGTACATTAATAAAACATAATTTACCAAATTTAGGTCAAAGGCAGTGGTTGGTAATTGTTCATCAATGATGCCCAAGTCTTTGGTGAAGCGATTTAGTATTCGCCCTATGTGAAGTATTAATCATTATTATTACATGATGGAAAATAATTCACCATGCAACTAACCAACTGGGTTGCTGTCAAACACAAATATCGGGGCCCGTAATAGACGATAGAATATAGTGTTGTGGAGATTAACTGAAGCCCTCATAAACATCACAAACCATGTGATGGCTCTCAATAGGGATGCGATGAACAGCGCGGCCATCATTGAGGAGTAGATAATCACATCTCTGTTCTGCTCATCTCTATTAATATTACCCTCTTTTTGATTTTTATTAGTCCTATTAAATATATTATACAATAGTTGAAAATGTCATAAAATGTCATGAAATTGTGCATGATAAACGTAATATTTAAATCACTAACCATATTGTGAGAAAGTAATCTGAACCGTGAAAAATTGTTTGAGCGATTATGGTAAATATCATAGTAGCTGAAAATAATATTGGCCCGGCACCTGCCTTAATAAATGTCCAATATACTTTTCCCGATATTGAACCCGTTTCCCGGCCCTCGTCAGCAATGTTCGGATCGTTTCCAATCTCTTCATCCTTAATAAAAATGTAAATATTATTTATGAGTTTTGAAATAATATATTGAATTGAAATTTATAAATACATTTAAAATCATCAAACTCTCGGCCACTGAAGTGCTTCTGGATTTTGTTTTAATGTCAAAACTTGATTGTGAAAACGTACGCTTCAGTTCCCTGTCCTCCGCCTCTGCCTTCTTGTCGGCCGCTTCCCTCTCCTGATCGCTGAGAATAGACATGAAGTCTAAGCCCCGGGACTGGAGCTCATCATAGGATCCCAATCCCAGACACTTTCCCTC